CAACCCTGATTTTCATTACTATAGCCACACTAGAAGGCCCTTAACAATGTTTTCCATTTACCCTTTGTGCCCTTTGTTAAAAGTGACTTGCCCCCTTCATTTCTGCCTGATGAAAGCATTAAGACCCTACTTGAGTGCCAGCCATCTCCTCCATGAAGACTTTCCCAGTTTTCCTCAGCTAGGAAGAATCTCCCTGCTCTGAGCTCCTAGGTCTATTTATATACACATTTCTGCCTTGCCTTACTTAGCTCTTGCTGTAGCATCAACTCGGGTAGGTCTGGAGCCCTTGAAGGGTATAGAGAGAGCATCTCATCCAGCCTCTGTAATCGCACTCAGAAGCAGGTGCAGGATGAATGTGTCTGCCTCACCCACGGTAGACAAGCGCCTGTTGCCTGAACACAGGACTCACCGCTTACACCACTCATGCTTAGGTAGCCACCTAACAGAATGGGCTGGACACGGTTAGGTTACACAGCCTGGGGAATTGGGCCATTCCAGCCAGTCGCTAGGATGTCCCTACCAGCCTCCGCTACCCAGCTCCAAATGGGGTGTGAGTGCGAAGGAAGTGGGGCCGGGTAGCCCCACTGGCTCCTCCTCCGAGTCCACCCTGCGGATCTCTGAGTCTCAGGTCTCCTTCCAGTTCAAGGGTCTCAAGAAACTCGAAGGGGCGGTACCGGAGAGATAAGGGCCTCTACCGCGGATGCGCTTCCCACTCGCGGCTAGTTTAATTTATTTATTTAATGTTTTTTTGGAGGGAGGGAGCGTTCAATGAAGGGGAAGAGGTGGAGCGAGGGAAGGAGGCGGGCCCAGGCTGACTGACGCTAGCGCCGGGGAGCCAATGGCCGGTGGGGGGCGTTCCCCCCCATTCAGGACTCCTCGCCTGGCTCGGAAGGTATGTTAAACAGCTGCTTTTAATTTGGTCTCCCCAATCTCGGGCGTTTGGGGGGCTAGCTCGCTGGCCAGTGGCTCAGGCCGGTCCGCCACGGTGCGGGCGCCGCGGGCCCCGGGACGGAGCTAGGGGAGGCTCGCAGTCCGGCGGCCGAGGGAGGCGCGGGGCAGGCCAGGAAGGAGAGCTCTTGGCGCCGCCCGCTCGCCAGTGTGTGTGTTTTCCAAGCCGGGCCGGATTCGTGGGGAGGGGGTCGGCCCGGCCCGGGGTCGTCAGTGCGCCGGCCGTGCTGCCTAGTTTATTTCACCGAGCAGTCGGTTTCGGTAGGTTTCGGCGGCGGACTGGGTAAGGGGCGGGCAGGGGGAGATTCCCTCCCCCCTCGCTCCTGGAATGCCTTTAAAAAAATTATTGTAAAGAAGAAAATAGGGGATATTCCGTACGCCGACTGGAACCGAGCCTGGGCTGCGGCGCGCGGGCTCGGCAGGGGGCGGCGGCCTGAGCCCGGCGGGCCTGGCCCACTGAGCCCACGGCGCCCGGAGTTGGTTGAGAGCTGGAGTTAGCGAGCGACCCGCAGCCGGCGGCTTTCCCCGCTAACCATGCTGTGCGAGGGCGGCAGCCACCCGGAGGGTTTTGTTTCGGCCCGCAAACTTGGAGGGGGCGGTGGGCGCGATCCGGAGAGGCGCGGGCGCCGTGGGCCGCGGTTGTTATGGACTCTGGGGGCGGGGGCAACGCCGGACTTGCGGGAGGGGCGGCCGGGGGCGGGGGAGGCCACCGGAAAAAGCCCCCCGCGCCTGGCCACCAGCTCCGCGCGCCGGTCTGTGTTCTCCGAACTCCCGGGCCGTGGCAGTAGAGCCAGCATTCGGCGCCGGAACCCGCCAGGCCGCGAGCCCGCGCGGAACTCGGCCCGGGGGTATGGAAAACCTCCAGGAACTCGGTGGCGGCTTCGACCCGCGGCCCCAGCTGATCCCCTTGCAAACATGGAGCTGCCTCCCTCCCCGCCCACCCCAAGCCGGCCGCGGCGGCGGCGGCGGCTGCGGCTCCCTTCTTCTCCCCCGGCCGTGCGGCTCGCCCGCTGATGGGGCGGGGGCGGGGGCGCGGGCATGTGAGCGCGCCCACGAGGGGGTGGCCTGAAAGGGGCAGTGAAGGTCGGAAACTGGGAAAACAGTCTCCACGCTAGGAATCGGGAAAAGGAAATGCATCAGCGGGCGGGGAGGGGCGCGGGGGGCGCGCCTGTCAGCCGGGATGGCGGCCGCGGGCTGGAAGGCGGGGCGCCGGCGCTAACCGCCGGGGTCGGGTGGGGCGACGCCGGGAGAGGAGGCGCCGGGGCCCCGGCCCACGGAGAGCCGGGTTGCCCCTGCCTCCACTCCTTGGCCTAGCCTGTTTACTATCTACTCCAGCAGCCGCCGCTTGTGCAACCCTCCCGGAGGGGAGCTGAGGGGCGGGGCCTTTCCCTCTCTCTTCCACCCACCTCGGGCTCCTCCAGAGGGCCCGCCTTCTCTTGTCTTCCACTGGCTGGGCGAGACTCCCTTTTTTCCTTCTCGGTTCTCGACTGGATGACATTCTCTCGAGCTCCGCCTATCGGAGGCCGGGCTGGAGTTTAAGTTGCTAGGATTTTTTTCCGTGAAGGGCGGAGGGAGGATTTCTACGACTTACGTGAGGCGCAAGGTCCCGCCCCCACTCCTGATTGGTGAGATGGGTAATCTCCGCCCCCTCCGCCCGAGCGAGCTAGGATGGGGGGAAGTCCACCCCCTGTTCTCCGCCCCTTCCCCTAGCCTGTGTGCGCGCTCGGCACATGTGTGAGTCCCGCCTTGCTCCTTCGAACTGTCCTCCCGCCCGGAAGTCCCGGGTTTGGAGTCCTTGGCGCGGGGAGGGGGGGAGGGGGCGAAGAGAGCTGAGAAGGCACACAATGATTCCTCTAAGGCTGGAGATTCTGGTAGCTTTGCGATGAAGTTAGGGGTTAACGGCATGAGTGGATTTCGGGGCCCTCGGCTCCAGGGGTTCTGCAGGGTTGGATCTGGCCTTCCGGGCCAACTACTAAAGTTCTGACCCTGCGGCCTGGCTATTCTCGCGCCTCTTGACTTCCCGGAGATCACCCTGAATTTAAGCTTGAGAACGCCGCGGACGCCGGCAGCTTGGCTTTAACTAAAAAAGCTCGGTGGCTTTAACTAAAACTCTGAGCAACCTAAGATTGGCCTGGGTGCTTTAGGCAAGGTCCAGGGTGGTTCATACCCTGTTGACAGAGAAGTCGGGGGCGGCCCAACTCTGCTTGGATTCGAAGTGGTTCTTGAGGTCCAGGTGGAGCGTCGTGTGGCACCCAGTCCAGGGAGCCGGGGACGGCCCAGAGTGAAAGGTACCGTCGATAAGTTCTGCAAAAGTGCCGCTTCTTCCTAACCTCGAAGAGATTTGATTCGAGCGTCGCTTTCGTTGGTGTGACCTTTTTTTAGAGCTCCGGCTTTGGGCAGGGCTTGGCTCTCATCCTTAGCTACTCATGGAGTTCACAGTTCACTGCCTTGTCCTTACGGCTCGAAGCCATCCTTGGAGTCAGGCCCACCTGTTGCCAGCGCTGGTTTCCTTGCCGTCTCCCCTGGGTTGCGGAGGGAGGACAAGATAGGACCTGGGAGCGGGTTCCCTGGGGCCTGCCACTTGGGGACTGACACGGCTCTCGGGGGAGTAGCCTTTTGCTGGAGAGCGGGAAAACTCTAGTCCCGCCCCCTCCTTTCCTGGCGCTCCTTGAGCGCCCCCCAAAGCAGGGCCAGCGTCCGTTCTCCGCCCCATTTGGTGAATAAATAAAAGCAAACTAGGCATTGCAAGCACTTTGTCTCTGTGTGTTTGAAGCACTATAACCTACACAGAGAAGGCCTAGGGACTGCCATTAACACTTGTTGGCCAAAGGAGTAGGTGAACAGCCATTCTTATCTTTTGTCACCAACTGTGGAATTTTTATTCTTTGTATGAAGTGTGGGGTGAAGGTTCATTTATGCTGTGGCCTGTTTGGTCTCCTTACTCAGTTCGAGTCCGAGTATGCCTCCAGCTACACCCTGGAGATCGCAAACGCTTTACACCTCACGCTCCGCCTTCCGGAGGCTTGCCAGGGCGGTGGCTGTTAGGGCCCTGCCTTCATTTTGGTTATCTCCGCCCTCTTAGGACTGCATACTCAAGTTTAGGGATTGTCGGTGTTAGAAGTGTGCAGCCAAAACTAGCTGCGGGCTGGCAACCAATGGGACTATTTTTCGGCTTGGGTCTCCAGCTCTTAATTCTGTACGTACTGAAAGGAGTTGTACGGGTCCGGTTGCTCCGGATATTTGTGTTTACAAGGAGGCAGCGTGCGGAAATGTAAATTGTAGAGAGAACTGGATAGGATGAGGTTTTTTCTTTCTTTCTTTTATTTTTTCTTGTAAGGGGTCCTCCACGGTGGTGTGTTGCTGCCTCTCCCTTTCAAATCCCAAGGCTTCGGATCTCAGCTGCTGAGCTCCGCGCCCCCTCCTGTTTCGGGCCCTGGAACTCTCTGCAGTTCAGTCTCTAGTGTAAACATTCCACAAAAGGACTGCTAAGGTTCAGCCTCCTCACGCGGGGCGGAGTCAGCTCCTTTCGAGACGGGCGTCCTGGCCAATGGAGGCTGCTACCGGCGCCGAGATATCCAATCGGGTGGTTGGGGGCGGGGCCTGCCTCATTTACGGACATTTTACCCCACATCGGTTACTTACCTTCCTGGGGCAGCGAGAGAGCCAGGGGTAGCCTTCCAATGCGATGACCGGCGAGGGCGGGAGCCGACTTGTTGGGCCTGTGGCTGAGACCGCACGGGGCGGGATATGTGGAGTCCTCCAATGAGACGTGAAGAGCTCCCCTGCTTCCTCCAATAGTGTTGAAGCGTGGGGGTGGGATTCAGCAATTCGCCTCCAATAGGCGGGGTTGAGTTAGGGAAGCTCCCCGCCAATAGGGGCGTGGAGAAGGTGAGCGGCTCCCCCTCCCCTCCCAGCCGAGGGGGAAGGGGCGGGCAGCCGGCAGGCAGGGCACAGCGATTGGTTAAACCTTTGACGGGCGGATAATGCGGCCTGTGGCGGAGCGAAGTTGAGTCTTCCCTCTGCGGGGCGGGCCGGGGGAGTGGGCGGGATTTCCCGGGTAACAGAGAAGCGGCCGCGGCGGTAGAGGCGGCGGAGACGGTTTCTCCATCTTTCCCCCCCTCCCCTTCCCCCCTCGGAGTTTCCCTCCCTCCCTCCCTCCCTCCTTCCCAGTCTGGGCACCGGGGCCTGTGACCGTTTCGTTAGCGGAGAGGAGGCTGCCAGTCCGCTTCGGCGGGCCTGTGCCTGCGCCGTTCTCGGGGCCTCCCTGCTGAGCCCGAGGCTCACGCCGAGAGGGACACGCAGTGAGGAGCGGCCGAAGCAGCTTTGCGGTGAGAGCACGCCGGGCCAGGGTCGGGGCGGGGAGCCTGGTGGCGGGTAACGCTGGACTCGAGGGTGTGTATTTTTAGGGGGCCTGACCTCCTCGGCTTCCCGTAGAGCAGGCGGGCGGGAGGTGTGTGGATGTGTGAGGGGGGTGGGGGGCGGAGCGGGGTAGCTCTTCGTGCGGGAGGGGGAGGAGAGCGTAGTCCCGGTGCGCGCGGAGGGGGCGGGCTCTCGCGCCGCCGCTCAGGGGCGGGGCCGGCGCGCGCGTGCGATTGTGGAGAAAGGGGCGGGGCCGGCCCTGGCTAAGTGCTGTTTGCGGTCGACCACCCCTCTTATCTTCCCGAGGTGGGCGGGGCCTCAGCTGGGCAGCCGCGCACTGGCATGCTGGGGTTGGGGGACGGGCAAGGGGTCTCCCGCGTGTGGTTTCGGGGCGCGGCAGGGAGGGGGCGTGAAGTCCGCTTTCCTCCGCCTTCTCGTGATCCGGTTGGCCGGAGGGGCCGTACGGAGCGGCGATGCCACTCCCCCAGGCCGTCCTCCCCCCTCCCCCCTCCCCCCGGTTTCCGCCTCCTTGGCAAGTGAGGCGGGGTTCGGGAAAGCCCGCTGTCCGGTCTGGCTTGGAGTCGCGGCGCCCAGATCTGCCCCGCCCTACGTCTCCGTGGGGGTGGGAGGGGCTCCCGCCGACTCTGAGCTGCGGAGGTGTCAGGACTTACTCTTGTGGCTCGGCCATGCCTTTTGCATGGGGCAAGAGGGCTGTGTGCCAGAGCTGTTGTCTGTCTTAGCTCCACGCAGCGTAGATGGCACCGTTCAGCCTTGGAGAGTGGGAGCACGGTCACCGCCGCTTGTACTTATTGGGGCGAGGTGCTCAAGGTCCTTTCGTTGGGAGTCTTGCAGTGGAGTGGCTGCTCGTGCTGCGACCATGCTTCCGCAGCGGTGATTGTGGGGGGAGGGGCGGAGAGTCATCAGAGACTAGAAATGTGGCCGGGGACAACCTTTCTTGGAGTTCCCTTAGGTTCAGTTACTGTGGCTGTACGGGGCGGGGTTTCCTTTGAGCCAATAGGGTGGTGGGTAGTTAGACTTGGCCACTGTTAGGTGTCTTAGGACTTCAAACCCAGTTAGCCAGAAAAAGTCTTTAACTAAGCTGAGATTTAGAAAAGGAAGGGTTGGATTTACATTTTACTATTTAAAAAAACTGTATGTTTATAAAAGATGGTGATTTAAAAAAAACTGAGACTGAATACTCTTGATTTCTTCTGCTCTTGCATTTTTGAAAGCTTTCATTGTACATACAGGTGGTTCTGATATGTAAGCTTAATTTCACAAATAAGTTGCAATTTAGGTAACTAGAGGTGTTCTTGAAAAATCTTCTCTTCTGATTTTATGTAATTGTTAGAACATCTAGACCGTTTCTATTTATATTCTGTAAAACAGTGTTCTTGCCCTGTTTTGTTACAGAGAGGGTGAAGTCGAGGACTAGTGTAGTTTTGTGTATGTGATTTTCATAGCATGGCCCTCCAACCTGTATTGGGGAGTTGCCTTAGGACATTTCATGTTTAATGAACTATTTAATTTTTTTAAGTGTTTTTTTTTTTTTTAATTTAAGTAATCTCTATACCCAACATGGGGTTTGAGCTCAGGAGATCAAGAGTCGCATGGTCTTCTGGCTAAGCCAGCCAGGCTCCCCATAATGAATTATTTTAAATGAGGTTTTTGCTCTGACTTGATACGTTCTCTTTTCTTAAGAGAAATTACATGTTTTTGATATTTTTTTATGAGAATATAAACACAGAGGAATATATTTATAGACTAATATCTGAGCAAGCCCTCTGGCTGATACCTGAAGTTAAATTCTAGATTTGTGCTTTGTTCAGGTGGGACTGAGAGCTTGATGTCCTGCCCTATATTCATGTGAAGAGAGTAAGTCCCATCTCAGTTAAGGAAGTAGCAATGGCAGAGGTAGCTTTTTCATTTGAGTGATAGTGACTGTATTAGAATTGGTGTGGAGACAGAAAGCCTGGGTGTTTTTCTAATGTTATAAACTGCCAAAGATAGTGGAGATAGTGGAGAGGAAGGTTTGGTCAACACAAAGTTGATCCCACCATTTGCAGTGCTGTCTGCTGGGAAACACGGAAGACCTAAATCATGCCCTTAATATGTTGTCTCTTGGGGCACCAGGGTCAGAAGTCCCACATATGCTTTAAGGATTCAAGTTAAGAACCTGGATGTACTATATTAGGGAAGTTTTTATAAATGCTTCTTACCTTTCCAAATAGCAGTATGATATAGACTATAGTTTTATCAGAGTTAAGACCCTAGATAGATTGGCATTTTGTAATTAAGAAGGTTTTACCCTAAGAGTAAGATTTTTTTTTTATTTTTTGTCTAAAGAGGTATGTAATAATTTGATAAGATTCTTGGTAAAGCATAGTCCTGTTTATATCTTAATTACAGACAAGATAACTGGAGATCTTTTCAAGGCAGATGTAATGGCTGCAAATTTTAGTCAGAATTAAAAGATTATGTCCATGTCATTCAGTAATCTAGTGAAGTGCTTTAGAAGGCTTTCTCGGGGCGCCTGGGTGGCTCAGCTGGTTGGGCGTCTGTCTTCGGCTCAGGTCATGATCCCAGCGTCCTGGGATTGACTCCCGCATCGGGCTCCTTGCTGGGCAGGGAGCCTGCTTCTCCCTCTGCCTGCTGCTCGCTCTCTCGCGCTCTTGCTCACTCTCTCTGACAAATAAATAAAATGTTTAAAAAAAAAAGGCTTTCTCCTTCTAATACTACTAAGAGTTGTTAAGCTTTACTTTCTGTAGATTCTCCTAAAAATGATAAATGATAGTTAACATGCTTTTTATTTTTTAAAAAAAGATTTATTTGAGAGAGCGTATGCATGGTGGGGGGAGGCACAGGGGCGGGGAGGCCCAGAGGGAGAGAAAGAAAGAATCCTCAAGCAGACTCCCTGCTGAGCACGGAACCCAGTGCTGGGTCTCCATCCCAAACCCTGAGATCATGACCTGAGTCGCAGTCAAGAGCCGGCTGCTTAACCAGCTGAGCCACCCAGGCACCCCATTAACATGCTTTTTAAAACTATATTCTCTGTCTACATGAAAAATAACTTTCATTTTTTTCTAAAGATTTATTTTTTTAAAAATTTAAAAAATAAAGATTTATCCTATAAAGAGAGAGAGAGAGAGCACACGCACACATATGAGCTGAAGGGGCAGAGGGAGAGGGAGAGAGAATCTCAAGCAGACTGCGTGCCAGCTCAGGTTGAGATTACAACCTGAGCCAAAACCAAGAGTGGAAGGCTTAACCGACTGCACCACCCACACACCCCAGTAAGAACTTTCATTTATTGAGCCCTTATTATGTCCCAGGCACTGAGTTGGGCACTGTACATTTATTAATCCACTTAATCTTCATGATAACCCCGTCTAGTGGGTACTACGAAGTCCTTGTTTTAAAGATGAGGAAACAGTGACAGAGAGATTAGAACTGTGGTAAGTGGCCATGACAGATGTGAACCCTGGTGTTCTGGTTCCAGAGTCCCTGCTTTTAACTCTACACTTCATTTATGTCTGGTCTAAGGATAGTAAACAGAGAAGGAGCAGTGTGCTATTAAAAACAATTGAGGTAAAATATATATAACAAAATTTACCGTTTTAACTATTTTTAAGTGTACAGTTCACTGGCATTAAGTACACTCACTTTGTTGTGCAACTGTTACAACTATCCATCTCCAGAACTTTTTCATCTTCCCCAACTGAAACTGTACCCATTAAACAACAGCTCCTTTATCTATCTATCTATCTACCTATCTTTAAACATTTTTGGGGGGCTCATGGGTGGCTCAGTCATTAAGCGTCTGCCTTTGGCTCAGGTCATGATCCCAGGATCCTGGGATTGAGCCCCGCTTTGGGATTCCTGTTCGGCAGGAAGCCTGCTTCTCCCTCTCCCACTCCCCCTGCTTGTGTTCCTGCTCTCGCTATCTCTCTGTCAAATAAATAAATAAAATCTTAAAAAAAAACATTTTTTATTTTATTTTAGAGCATGAGTGTGTGCACAGGGGTGAGGGCAGAGGGAGGGAAAGGGAGAGAGAGAAGCAGACTCCCCGCTGAGTGCAGAGCCCTTCGTGGGGTTCGATCTCAGGACCCTGAGATCATGACCTGAGCCGAAATCAAGAGTCGGTTGCTTAATTGACTGAACCACCCAGGCGCCCCAACAAACAGCCCCTTTAAATCCCTCAACCATTCTACTTTATGTCTGTGTGAGTTTGACTACTCTAGGTATCTTATATAAGTAGAATCATACAGTATTTGCCCTTTTGTGCCTGGCTTATTTCACTTAGAATAATGTTCTCAGGGTTCATCCATGTCATAGCACATGTCAGAATTACCTTCCTTTTTTTTTTTTTTTAAGATTTTATTTATTTATTAGAGAGAGAGAATGAGAGAGAGAGAAAGCACATGAGAGGGGGGAGGGTCAGAGGGAGAAGCAGACTCCCTGCCAAGCAGGGAGCCCGATGTGGGACTTGATCCAGGGACTCCAGGATCATGACCTGAGCCGAAGGCAGTCGCTTAACCAACTGAGCCACCCAGGAGCCCCAGAATTACCTTCCTTTTTAATGGTGATTAATATTCCATTATATGTATATATCACCTTTTGTTGATTCATGTATCAGTAGACATTTGGGTTGTTTCCACCTCTTGGCTATTGTGAATAATGCCATAAAGAACATGGATATATAAATATCTCTTCAAGTACCTGCTTTGAATCCTTTTGGGTATATACCCAGAGGTGGAATTGCTGGATCAAATAGTAAATCTGTGCTTAATTTTTTGAGGACCTAGCAGTGTGCTTTTGAAAGCAGCTTTGAGGGAAAAAATTGGGACTCAGATTCTAAAGGGGAATTGAGTCAACACCCATTTCTTGACCACCTTCTTAAATAACCCTGGGGTGACACAGGAAGAGTCTTTGTCCCAGAAAAGTTTACATTCTTAGAAGGAAAGGCAAA